TAGATAGATAGATAGATAGATAGATAGATAGATAGATAGATAGATAATAGATAGATAATAGATAGATAGATGGATAGATATAGATATAGAGATAGAGATATAGATATAGATATAGAGATAGAGATAGAGATAGAGATAGAGATAGAGATAGAGATAGAGATAGAGATAGATAGAGATAGATCTTTCAAGACAGCAAGCAGCCCGAGATTCACATGGCTCTGAGACTATAACCATGCCCCCAGCAATCACACAGCATTCTCACCATTCTGCACTTTAACTTATCCTCCCCATTTTCTTATTCTCCTGCTGACGAGAGAGGCATGCCTACTTTGTCTCTTGTCCACAGGCAGCAAAAGGAAGCCACTTTGTGCGCAGTTGACAAAAGCAAGCCCATTTGCACCATACTGGTGGGTCGAGTCGTGTTGGGGTGGGTTTCCTGGTGTGCTGCAGATCTATAGTTGTTTCTTGCTTGCTTCTGCTTCTTGTGGTACAGAAGGAAGTCCAGCACAGCAGCATGGCGCATTGTTTTTGCCGGCTTTATGCAAAAGGATTTGCTTTTACCAGATTGCTTTTGCTGGCTTCACAGTGGGGCTTGTTGGCATGAAAGACCAGGTCATGAATGCCTCATCAACAGTGGGAGCAAGAAAAAGTAAGAATAAACTGGGGTGGCAGAGCACAGAAAAGCAGGGGGCCAAAAAGGTACAAATGGAGAGGGGGGAAAGAGATAGGCAGGTGGGAGAAGTTGAAATGCCCCTGTGATCCAAAATGCAGGCTAGCTGCCACATATCCAAATTTTGTTCATGTGAACATGAGGGGGAGTGTTGCAATAGCTATAACTTCAGGCACGAGCCTTAATTCCATTTCTTTTTAGCATGGTTGTAACTTCAAGCTGTTTATGAGCAAATGGTCATAAGCGAGAGCTACCTGTAATAGCTAACTTAATACCAGTGTCAAACAAGACAGGACCACGACCCACAAGCTTATAATCAAAAGAAATAAATAAGAGATAGAAAGGAAAGAAGAGCCAAAGTAGAATCAGGGATAAGTGGTCTGTTGTGGTAATTAGTTTGAAGAAGAGTCTGATGTAACAAATCTCTCAACAATTCTGCCAGAGTTGTCCAACATATTCAGTCATTCTCTCCACTGTAGCAGAATGTGCAAAATAACAAAAAAATGGAAGTATAGCACAATACTTCTTCTACTTATATCTTCTGTGTTCCAAGTGCCCTCTGTAAGCCACTTTTCCCTTTGAACTGAAATCTCAATTCAATCAACTGAATTCTCTTCCCAAAGTAATTTTTCCTTAGGAAAGTCTGTCTTAGGGTTTTTCCCATGGATTTGCCTGTAGTATATACTATGGTTCTAAAAGATTCTTATATATAGGCATGAAAGTACTGTAGCTTGACCTACTTGCCTTGACCATGGCAAATTGGGCAGCAAACAAATTTAATAAATACAAGCTTAATATATGTATACCAAGATATTGCTAAATATAATTAGGGTTCAGTTATTCAGTTAAACCATAATATTTAGGTACAGTGTAATCCACTGTTTTCATGTTCTTTTATACAATTTTTATACAATGCCTTATGAATAATCTACACTTTCTGCTTATGGAATGACCTCTGTGATACTCTGGTTTATGGCCAAGGGTTAGATTAGTTCCTAAAGTTCATATCTAACCTGATTCATCTTGACATTAAACTTGTATGTACAGATTCGCCTAAAAGCACGACATTCTAAGGGTGAACATATGCAACTACTTCTTGCAAAATGAAATATACATAACACATTTCTTTGCCACTAGCTGTTGCCACTCCACACACTCCAATTCACGACTTCTGTAATACCTGCACCACAAAGCCCTGATGGCCGTCGACCTGTGTGCATCCAGTCTCTCTTCATCTGCTGCAGGAGCCTTAAAGCTGTCATGGAGACTTCATGGTTCTTATCACCAAACTCGAGCATGTGTGCAAAACGAGGAATATATAAACACGGATCTGCCCAAAGCAAGAGGAAAAAAAGTTTGTTATTACCAACCATAACTTTTCCTCTTTTATCCAGAGATTTCTCAGATTTACTCGACTTACAAAAAACACTTCACTGTCCTATTGTTTCTCCAGCTGTAGACATGAGATTGTATTTACTATCAGGAACAAAAAGAATTGTGCTTGTGGAAGGTCTTTGTTCTGGCAGAAACCTCTACTAATGGAAGGTGATGTTTTGCTGATTGTCTCTTCCCTCTGGAACTCTCAGCACCATTTTTCCCATTTCTCCAATCAGATATACAAGGACTACTGGGAGAATGGGCATTATTCAAAATTCACCACCCCTTTCATTAGGACGTATCAGACAACAAACAGCTTTCAGTGAACTGAAAGATACCAAATGTCACATGAGACAGACACACACAAAGCAACCTCTCTTTTAAAAATGAACTGTAGAAGGTGACTGCTTTGGATCAAGAAAAATTAAGGAGAGATATTTCGCATGTTCCTTGTCTGTTTAAAACTGACCACCTTTTTTGAAGCTTCAGTAGAAATAGATACAAATGCTATATTGCTGTTAGTCAAGTCAATGCTGGATATTCTTGCAACACAGAACAGCAGTGGAGTAATTAGTACTAGCTAGAAAAAAGGCTGCATATTTTAAATTTGTAAACCAAGAATACATTGTAACACATGATTTAAAAAAGACCTATCAAACTTGAGATATTCAAATATATATTGCCACATAAACTATGAAGTATAGAATAAATAGTGTAGGTCCAATCAATCAATCAATGTTGATAGCCCATAAGTGTAATTACTAAAATTATTATTTGACTCCATATTTCCAAATCGAAGATCTGTCATAGATCAGTGCAGCAACTGTAGCAATGAATAATATGTACAATCACACAGACTTATCAACACCATCCCTGGTCCAAATGTGTTGAGACCAAAGCTCGCTATACCTGCAGAACTATACTGTAAAATTATGGTAGCATTAAAAATTGGGAAATGTAATCCCAAACATGCCTGGGAAGCACCTGGATGAGGAGACTAATAATGATGATTAATATCCTCATCCAGAAGGATGACAAGCAAGAGGAAAATATCCCATATGCAATTTTATATTACTTGAGACTTCTTTGAAGATATCACATTAGTTAAAAATTCCACATTAACAGATAAAATTATTTTGCTTCTACAGAAGTACAGTATTAAATTTTTCATCTCTAAAGCCATTGTATATAGATGAAAGTTTCAGCCGGCTCCAATTATTAACCCACAGACTAATTCTGCTTTCATATCTCCCTCTTTACTGAAGATTAAGTTAAAGTAATCAACAGAACTAAGCCAAAAGAATAACTTCCAAAAATCAACTTAAGCTTTCATAAAAAAGTCAAATTGGTTGAGAGTTCTTCTATACTAACAAGTATATCTATTATGCCATGAAATTAGCACCATTAATGTTAACTGATTTCTAGTCCCTGAAACCAGAAATATTTGAAGACAATTTTAAATGCAATGGATTATTTATTTCAAAGATACAACTTTATGTGGGGTACTGCTCCATTTTGATTATATGGCTTAATGTCTCCTGAATGATTTGCAGGTACAGTGCAATCAATGTCTACCTAAACTATATAGCTGCTACCTGTAATTTAAAGGCTTTTATGCTGCATTGCTATGCACTTAACAGCAAGGTTCCAATCTATAATTGTTTCTCAATATTACAGAAAAACAAAACAAGATTTTAAGTTCATTACTTGCATAACAAATAATGATTATTCCGCATCATAACAATTGTATTCAATAAGCAAGACATTAAAATATATTCTAAAAGATAGAAGCTATCAAGGTTACCGGAACACAGCTTTGGCTATCATTATGAAATGACAGGAAACCATCATGGTTTCCATCATTTTTCACTGAGGAACACTGCCAGTTTTCAATATCAAAGGGTCCTCTCATGTAGATGTCATATATTATTGGGGGAAGGGTGCTTGAGTTTAAGTTTCACATCATAAATAGCTATTATAATTTCACTTTGGAATTAAGCCATTTTACAATCCTAAAATAATGTATTTGAATCATAATGTTAAAATGCCATCTAAAAATAATTTATACTGCCCATCTGCCAAAATAATGCAGGCTAGCACACAATGACTAAACTAAGAACTTCCACCTAAGAGTCAAAGTATGAAGCAGAAGAGAAAATAAGTTATCAGCATTTCAGACATTAATTTCTCACTGCAAAACAATCATGTAGTAACATGGCATAGGGTATGGGTAGGGCTAAAATAGTTGCAAATAAATCAGTATGAGGTAATAGTGGAAAAAAGAGATATAGCAAAATCCTTTTCAGTAGTCTCATTTGAGATGGTGAGGTTGAACAACTGGCCCTGTGGTGCAGCCAGAACAATCTGGAGTGGAACACACTTAAAACTGTAGAGATTACAGTGGATTTTAGGAGGACCCTCCTATTCTACCACCATAGCCTTCCAATCCTGGCTGAATAAAAAAGTTGAAGATGAATTTAGTAAAAACCAAACAGAAGACCTAATAATAACAACAGAAAAGTCAAGTGAAAAGGTTTGAAACTGGATAATCTCCTGGAACTGAACAATGGCTTTTTGCTCAAATATCTGACTATCTTGCATCTAATTATAACTAAATAACATAATGAACTATTGCATAAAGAAGATATCAGCAACTGATTACTACCTGGCAAAACTTATGAGAGTAAAAAAAAGGTGAAAGAAAAAACATAAGGAAACTATAAACCAATAACATGCTTGCCTACAATATTTCAATTACTTACAGGAATAATAGCATATAGCTCCCAAGATTATTTGGAAGAAAAATACCCTTCCAGTTAAACACAAAGGCAATAAAAGGAGAAGCAGCGGGACAAAAGATCAAGTGCCGATTAAGAAAATGGTTTTGGAGAATTATGAAAACTGAAAAAGAAATTTACATATGGTTTAAATTGATTATAAAAGGAGTTTGTTTCATAACCGCATAGCTGTATCATCAAATGTTTGGAAACAACTGGTGTCAGTAAAAACATCTGAATATCTACAGGAAAAAAATAATGAAATAACAAAGGCAGGTGGCTGGAAATGAAAACTATGGGCTTGTCAATGTTAGAAGAGTTATCTTCCAAGGAAACTCATTATCACCCTTATCATTTTGTCATTGCTATGATCCCACTTTCAGTAATTTTGAAGAAAACAAATTTTGGCTACTGAACAGTAAAAATGCTAATAAAATACATGTTTGCTTTCTATGGGCTATCTGAAGCTTTATAGGAAATCAGAAATCAAAATTCAGTCATTGACAAACACTGCAAGACATCTGATAAAATAGTAAAAATTATCTTTAAAAATGTGTAAAAATTATCATGTGCCAGTAATGAAAACTAGATAAGAAGTAGTTGAAAAGGAACAGGTTAAACTATTATGGGGTTTCTCAATAAAAACTCATAAAAAAGTCTTGGCATGAATACACCTGACTTAACTGTGGTTGGAAAGAAGGAAGTTTGGATAATTAATGTGGCAATACAAGGAGAGAATAAAACAAAAGACAAAAAATGGAGAAAATCACAAAATATCAAGTTCTGAAAATCAAAGTTAAAAGATTATGGCATAAACTGGAGTGGTGGCCCCAGTGTTTATTGGTACTCTGGGTACCATACTGAAAAGCCTTGGACTACAAAATCTGTGCATTAACAAAATTTTCCATCTGTCCATTACAAAATGCCACACTATCTGAATCTGCACAAATACTACTCCGATACATAAACATCCTAGGTTTTTGCCAAGAATTTGATGTGAATGAAGGCCAACACCATAATAGCTGCTGTTGGATATATAATAATTTCATGTTCTACAGCCCAAAAGCTCTAGATAGACTACAGATAGTCCTCCAATCACAACCATTCATTTAATGACCATTTCAAATTACAACAACACTGAAAAAACTGATTTATGACCAGTTTTCATACTTACAACTGTTGTAGCATCCCCATGGTCATGTGATCAAAATTTGGGCACTTGACAACTGACAACTGTTACAGGGTCATGTGCTTACCATTTGTAACCTTCTCTGCAAACCAAGAAGGAAACCAGATTTGCTTAATGACCATGTGATTCACTTACCAACCATGACAAAAATATTGTAAAATGGGGCAGAAGTCACTTAACAACTGTCTTGCTTACCAATGGAAATGTTGGATTCAATTGTGGTTATAAATCAAGGATATATTTAATAGACTTTGTTGTCTTCTGTACTTACTAGGAAGTTAATTACTTCCTAGTAACTAACTAATTACTTAGTTGTCTTCTGTTAGTTGCTATTAGAGGCGCACAATAAAATTAGAATAAAAATAAAATTTTGGTCAGATTTTGAGCTTTCAGGTTTCATGTAGGTAAACAATTTCTTACTGAGCAAGTGCAGTATGATGTTGAGCAATTGTCCAATTAAAAAAAATCCCATTGGCTCTTCTCAGTGCCACTTTAAGAAAGGTAGGTCTTTTGGGAAACTAACTCGAATCAAATGATCAAGCTTTGTTCTATGTTCTCCAGTTTTTCACTAGAGATACCAGTTTCTCATTTCCTCTGATGTCAATTGTTAACTATTAAATTCAAGGCCACGTCCTTAGCTGATGCCCTGTTGAGCAATTCCACAAATAAAGAAAGGGCTTTGTCTTAAATGGATTTATAATTAATTAAACTTAAATAATCACTGCTAAGCATCAACATTGTTATGTACTATTTTTTATTTTCATGTGTTCAGAAAGACTATGCATATGCATGACATACAAATTTTCAGACAACCAGAAGCAGTACATTTTTAAAAAACCTAAATAATTATTAACTAGGAAAGTTGCATACATTAATATTTTTAGGGGAAATTGAAACATTCAGTTAACATGATGGTTAGCTATGGTATAGATACTACTAAATCAAATGCTATAAACCTGTTTAGGAAAAAGTTAGCATTCAGATTAA